TGGGCAGAAGAAACCGAAGACAGATGGAATGAACCCAGCTGTCTCTGCAGAGAAGACATCTCCTTGTAGCGTGGAGGCTGCTTTCAGGATTCATGATTCAGCTTTCAAGTTGGTTTTTGATAGTTAGGATGTTTTCATTTTGACTTCATCTGTTGACAAGGCGGTAAGAGCGCTGCGAGGACGCATATCTCTCCATCAGGTATGACTAATTGTACTGGGACAGCCATGCACGATAACACTTCTGTTTTCTCTGAAAGGGCTCCATTACAGCCAAGCCCCATTGAGTGTTTTTTTGCAGGAGTTTTGCTGATTGTGCAGCCCTGTGAGTGAGCAAACATGGAAAGTGTTGAATATTCAGCTCAAAACCCAGAAGCAGACTTGTTTCACTGCGTGTCTGAACTGAGCTTTTAACCGCGTGTTGTCAGTGCTTTTTAGGAAACTCATCTTGCCTGAGATGCATCATCCGGTAATGACATGCTCTGATTTAGGGACAGCCACCAGGAGCTTTGCGAAGGTCAGGGCTCATGGTTAGGCATTGGTGTCTTTGCAGCTCACTGTTGCACTCTGCTTTCCCCATCTTCTCCTTGGAGAGCTAAAGTAAGTCCATGCTCACAAATGCAGTTTTAAACAAGAGCCAACAGTGTGATTTGTCTTAGTCCTGCACTCAGAAATAAAATGTCTCCAAAAAAGCCAGTGCATGGCAGAAGCTGGAAAGCCAGGTTGGGCAGAGCCTTGGATGACATTGTCTAGTCTGAGGCATCCCTGCCCATGGCAGGGGGCTGGAACTAGATGATCTTAATGTCCTTTCTAACCCAAACCATTTTATGATTCTATGATTCTAAAACACTTTTGTTACATCTTTGCTGCTGTTGATTCTGTTTCTGCAGGAGCCAGGAGTTTTGGTGGAACCTAAGGGTAAATTTAAACTTCTTGTAGTTAAACTGTTTTCCTCCTGCTCCTCAGGGCAGCAGTTGCATGCCATGCTTATGTCCCTGGAGAAGTGTGTTGGCACAGGTGAGCCTCTGATCTCAATACATCAGCTCAGTGGTCAACACCCTTATGCAAAAAGAGCTTTGGTGTGCAACTCTTCCATTTGGCAGAGTTTGATCTTTGCATGAGTTACAACAGAAAGCTCTCCACAAGAGTCTGTGCAGCTTTAAAAACGTGCTTGCCTTTGATGGAAATCATTGTGTGCTCCTCAAGATTTGTAGTCATCTGAAAGCTGCTACTAAAAGCTTGCAAGTGGGCAGTCTGTCCAACATAAAGAGGTAGTGGAGATCTTCTTGACCCTTCCTCTGCCTCTTTTCTTGTGGACTGAGGCAGGTTTTCCTGTCTGCAACAAGGCTTCTTGTTTAGAAGTGCGAGACTACTTCCGTCATGGTACCAGTGCAGAGCCATAGTTCCTAGTTGGGTGTTAGAAGAATTAGTGAGTAATCATAAGGGTGATGCACCAAGAGACAGTCAGTGCAGACCTTCTAAGGGCATTGACTTCTCACAGTAAACTCACTAAGGGACCATTTAAGACTTCTCCTCTCCTTGCTACGTTGGCTTTGTTGTTTGTTGTACCTAAGGAGCTCTGAGCATGTGAACTGAGGAGAGGTGAACTTTGCAGCTGAGGACACCAAGGAGGAGACAGCTCTGGACACAGAGAGGTTTGGCATGGCATCATGGCCTTATCCGTGATCTGTCCAGGGTGAACTTGCTGCAGATGAGGCATCCCTCTCTGGAGGGGCTCTTCCATGTATCTGCAGCTCTTTAAGGATGTTGACAGGAATGACCTGTTTGCATTGAAGGTGGTTCCCCTTGCTCCTTTGGATGCCCCGTGGCAGAAAGAGGAGTCCTACTGGCTGCCAGTTCAGCTCTAAAAACGATGTCTGTGCAGAGTCCATCCTTGTCTGGACTCCAAGAGGCTGCTGTGCACAAGGCTTTCACACAGCTTCCTTAACAGTCTCCTTTTCACTTTTTCCAGGGACTTGTACTGTGCTTCATTTCAGAGGGATCCAGTGAATTAACATATTGTTGCTGCTGCCTGGGTAATTGCATGCCCGGGGTCTACTCTGCTCTGACATAGTCTTCCTGGCTTCCCAGAGAGAAAGCATCCTTTTCCTCCAGCAAACAAGTCTGCAAACTGTTGCCCTGAGAGCTTGCTCAAAGGATAGAGGAATGGGAGGATGGAGGGAAGAGGGGGAGGCTGTTTCTGAAAGCCTATCTGGCTTCAAGACCTCACCTATCGACATGGAGGAGGAGATGAGGTTTTTAATCTTTATTTGTATACCAAGGTACTAATTTTGACTGAAGCTGTGGTTTCTTGTGCTGATTTGTACAGACCTTGTATGGGTGCAGCTACAGAAATACAGGCCCACACTAGATACTACAGGGGCTCAGAAACTGCCTGAAATTAGCTATTCTGGGTCACGGAGGAGTTTCAGCAGAAGTTGAAACTGAGTGATCTGATACCCTGAAAATAAAAACCTGTGAATAGGTAGGTATAAAAATGCTTACTGGTCTCACCTCCAAGTACAAAAAAAAACCATGTGGATAAACCCTTAGAGCCTTCTAAGGCCCTGTGAGAGTAGACCACATCTCAAAATGTGTTGGAGAGCACATCTTCAAAGCTGTACAGATTTCTTAATGCGGATGCAGCTTTGCATTTTTAAAGGATGCTATTTGGTCAGGACTGACTTCTGGTGGGGAGCTGGCATCTTGTAGGCTTTGGTCTCCAAAATCAAATGTGGGTGTGTGCAGTGTGAGGAGGGCAGCTTTACCCCCAGCATGGCTTGGCTGTCAAGCAGTCATGAAGAGGGCAGGGAGCATCAAGACCCTGGAGTAAAGGGGAGGAGTTGGTTCATGGCTCTGCCAATGACCTCCTGGGTGACCTGGGGTGAGGAGATGAACCTCTCCTCTTCCATCTCCTCCTCTCCTGCCCACCCAGCACATGACAGTTGCCTTATGGTTTGTATGGATCCTTCTGAGAACCCAGAGCTCAGCAGCGCCCTTTTCATCTTCTCAGTTGTGACATTTCCTGTTTCTCAGTCACATAAGTTATTTTGACTGGAAGCAAGACATTGCTCCAGCACCCTTTGCGACACAAGGGATGGAGAGGTGGAGAAGGCCGTGCCGACTGTGTAGCTTGCTCATGTTGTATCAGAGCATTGCAGCTAGCAGGGGACGGGGAAGGCATCTTGAGCTTTTGCATCCTGTGGAATAGAGGCTGCAGCCTGGGGCAGTACAGAGAGCCTTTTTATAGTCAGCACTATACATGGGGCTTAGGAAATCCTGCTTGTTCTGTAAATGTGTGTATGTACAGGGGAAGAGGGACATTTGACTGCCCTCTAATACTGCTCTTGTGTGTGCTGCAGATGGGACGTGGACCCTGATGCCCAAACTGAGATGGACAGTTGCACGGTACTGCATGCAGAAGTGGGGTTTGTCATATGGTGGAGGGAAACATAAGATACGGTGTCATGGGGTACCTTCTGGGCCTTCACGGTGTTGGGATTTGGTTGTTTCTCTCAACTCTTTCACTTGGGGGATATCACAGTACCTGAGCATTGAATGATTCCCACTCTTTCCTCTGAAGCCTCTGAGCTGGGGGCAGTTAAAAGATGACTTGTAGGACTGTAGGATAATTCAGGCTGAAAAGGATCTCAGGTGGGTCAGCTGTGAGATCAGACCAGGTTGCTTTTAAGTTTATTCACTGAAGTCTTGAAGACTTCTCATGATGAGAGTGTGCATCCAGCTCCATGGCCTGACTGTTGTCATGGGGAAAAAGGTTTCACTAACATCCAGTCTGAACCACTCATGTTCCAAATGATGCATGTTGTCTCTCATTCCGCTGCCAGACACCATTGTGGAGAGCTCTGTGGCCCTGTGTTACGGTAATGTTACTGTGCTCCTGCAGCCCAGGACGCTGTTGGTCTTTGCTGCAGTTTCTTTGCTAAGGTCCCAGTTAGCTTGTGGTCCCAACAACTGTCAGCCCAGCTCTTGAGCAGTGGCATTGCTGCTCAGCTGGGATGCTGGGCTGTGCTTAGATGATCTCTTGAATAGGACTGTCACTGTGATTGGAAAGCCTGAGCACTTAGCAGCAGCCAGGAGGGAAGAGGAGCGTGGAGGAACCCTCAGGAGACAAAGACCTCTTCTCACTGCTAATGACATGGGCTGCTGCAGGTAGAGATAACAAGCCCAGAAAGGTAAAGCAACGTATTGAGTTCTGCAGAAAAACACAGGTGTTATAATTAACATCGTCTCACTTACTCATCTGTACAGCAAGTTTTTACTCACTACTGTGGTTTCAGTGGGGCTGTGACTGTTGATGGCCTTGGAGAGCTGAGGTCTACCATACCGTTGGCAAAGGGTGGTTGAACAAATCTCACTTGCTGTGCTTGCTGCTGGGGACAAAGCATGATTCCTGGTAGCCATGTGTAGAGAAATCATATGTATATATGTATGTGTACCATATTGAAACAAAATGCTGCAGTTTCATTCTGTGCTGCCAACAGTTAGTGTGTGAGTTTCAAACCGGCAACCTATATTCTTTAAGATCCAAGCACCTTGGGGAAAAGATCCATATTTTATGCTGTACTAATTTAAAAAATGGTGTCTTTTGTAGTGCAGCATGGTAGAAATAAGACAAAAAAGGAGAAAGAGAAGACAGAAAGATCCAGACCATCATTTTAAAGGTTTTCTGCTTTTCTGTTCTTTTCAGGAAATGTGGCTGACTATACACGGGATAGGAATGAAACCGCATATCACAAACCACTGTTGAGTTCATGAAGTGACCATGTTGAAAGAGTAGTGAAAAAAGTGTTCTTACTAGCACCCTCCTAGCCCGTAAGAATCCTGGCTGTGGCTTGCGATTGTAGTAGGGTGAAGATTTGCATTTTCAAGTTGGCGGTTTTCCTGTTTTACCCTTCCACTTCCTATGGGCTAATTTGGCGCTGTGTTAATTGTGAATCCGGAATGCAAATCAACTCACCTGCTTGTTTTCCTTTCATTTTTAGGTTTTCTAACTATGGAATCTCTCCTGAGGAGCTGCATCGTGTGCTGCTGACCTTGGGATGGGACACAGGGAGCGAGGAGGAGCTGCAACGTGCGGCTGCCAGTTGCTTTCATGAGGATGTCATATAGTGCTGAAAGCCATTCTGCTCTTGGCGTAAAAAATCCTTATCCTTCTTGTGTGCTTTTTTTCCAGGACAGCTGATACTTCCTGTTAGAGGTGCTTTATATGCAAATCAAGGTGGTACAACAAAAAAGGAGTCCTGAAAGCAATCACACCAATAACCTCAGCTCACCGGGGAATTCCTGCTTATCATTTTTTGTCTTTTCTGTTTTCAGTTCTGTACAAGATGCTTCTTTGCTTGCTCTTTCTTACAGTCTTTAACGTTTGCCCTGCCAGACCTCTTGCTCATGAGCTACAATGCTGCTTGCATTTTGCAGGGCTCCATGTCAGTGCATGAATAAAAGACGGTAAGTGCTGGAAATCAGGGTTAGCAGTCCCTGTGTTCCAGCTCTGCTCTGGTGCTCACTGGTGTTCAAATTAGACATGAACCTCACACTAAGAATGCCATGTGCCTGTAGTGATGATTTACATGGGAAGGTGAGCCCAGAAACCCTCAGGAAGCTCAGGAAAGGAGAGAGGTAGAAAACCAAAAGAAAAGAAGGCAGCAGATAATTAGCTAGCAACTTAAACAGGAGCAGTATTTGGCCATCCTGAGGCACCACGAGAGATGTCATGCTCAGCACTGAACTGATGCAGTGACACAAGTTTTGATCATTTCCTTGCTCCAGCAAAACAAACTTAACATCTGCCCAGTTTGTGCCCTGTTAGGTATCCCTGTAAGTGCATGGGGCTGATCAAAGCCTTGCTCATACCAGGCTCTCACCCAGCTGCCAGCAGCAGCATCACACTGATGCTACAGCAAGTTGTGAGGGTGAAAAAAAAGTCTTGTAGAAGCAGTGCAAGAAAAGGGCATGTCAGAGCAGGAGAGAGCTGCACAACTGCATGGCCTGGAGGATATTCCCATGTGTGTCTAGAGATACCCGCTGCAGCCCGGGTCTTGTTGAATCACACTGTGGTTTCTCTCGCCTTTGTGTGGGTAACAGTGATAATCGTTGTGTGTAGTGTTGGGGTTTGTTATTTGTTTTTTCTTCAATGTAAAACTGTCAAATTGGCATTGGTAGGGCAGCAAGCCTGATGCGGCTTTTATCTACCCTGAACCTGGGGACAAAGGAGGAGAGGAAAATGGCTTGACCAGTTTGGCTGCTGTGTGTGTAACGGTCCTGGGGTTCAAAGCAAAGGACACAACAGTCAGATACCCAAACCCGCCTGGGCTTCCACTGATAAGTCCCATTCCAAAGAGAAAGGCAATCCTGATGGGGCTCTGCAGAGTGGCTGAAACCTCCAGTGCTGTCTTTAAAAGGGGATTTCATAAGGAGTAATATGAACAGAAATGGCTCTTTTGTGGTTTTACACATTCCAGGCATGCCAGGACTGTTCCTGTCAAGGATGGGCAGTTTCTGGGGTTTTGGGTTGTTTTTTTTTTTTTTTTAACTTTTAATTTCAAAATTGTTGACACAAACTAGCAGCTGAAATGGTGCTAAACGAGAGTTGCAAAATCATTACAGTAGCAGTAATGGAAACTGTGAGACTTACGCCTGAACTGGTGGTGGGGGTTCACCCCATCATCTACACTGCTGTGCTGTTTGGATCGCTGCTTTTGCCTGCTATGACTGCTTCAGGATGGATGACTTGAAAGCAGAGCTTTAACTATTGGTTACCAGAACCTGAGAAAACAGTGCTTTAGAGTTTTTTTCAGCAGTACCTTTTCAGCTGAACCACTGTTAAGCATGAATCTGTTTGGTATCAGTACAGTTATGTGGGCATACAGCATCTTGGCATCATGACAGCAGCACTCATTTCTGCAGATATAGGGTACAGAAATGAGATGCAGCTACTCCTGCTTCAGATGTACTTCTGGTTTCAAGCAGGCTGCATCAGTTTGGATTGCACCTGTACACTTCAACACAAAGGTAGCATGCACAAAATGATGATGCCTTAAACCTTAACTGAGCCTTGAAATAGCCTGAAGTTTCACATGCGGTAAAGCTCTAGATGGTTTGTGTAGACCTGGCCTGTTATTTGAGTGTCTGATTCATAAGCCTACATGTCCTGTTCTTCTAGACGTGTGCTTCTCCTTTTGCCATAGTCCTGTGTGCTGTGTACATAGCAAGAGCTATGAGAAAGCCACAGCCAGAGGCTTACTGCCATCGCTTTTCTAGCATGGGTACCACAAGGAGTATGGCTATAGCAGTGTGTAATTAAGTGTAGACCTCAAACCCCCCTGTGGCAAACACTCAGCACCTTCAGCAGCAGCACCATGCTGACTGCAGCCAACTCAGCACCTCTGTGAGCTGGAGCTGCACCTTTACCTGCGCCTCTAATCCCTCATCCCAGCAGAGGCTGAACCGTGGAGCCATAGACAGCTGCCCTGAGAACTTCCTTTGCAGCCTGCCTTTGACCATAGCACACGTGCAGGCAGAGGGTGAGATGCAGAGGGTGAGAAAGCATCTCCTTGAAAGCAGCAATGAGAAAGACACTGTTTGAATGAAACTTCTGGCTTGGTTTTATTAACAGTGAATATGGTTATTTAGTGATGCACAGGAACAGGAGTGCATTTAACACATGGTGCCTAAAGCGCCTTCCCACCCTTGAACACAGGTGATGTTATAGAGAAGTCTCAAGGCTGTCACCTGGGCTGTTGTAGGTCTGTGGATGGAGGAACCTTAATCACCTGGGTTGGCATCGAATGCTGCATTTGCAGGATACAAGGAAGGAGGAGCTGGTGTTAATACAGTGCTCAATGTAAATATTTTTCACCTAAGAGGAGTCTGGTCTTGTAGCCTCCTGGGCTGTTTGCCATTTTGGGTTTGTTTCCTGAATAAAAACAAAGGAAAAAAAGAAAAGTTTTCTTTACCCCATCAGTGCTTCCAACCACAGAAATTTGGAAACAAAAAGCTGGAAGGTGTAGTCAGCAGCGAGCTGTCTTTTTACTGGGCCTGTCTTGCAAGGGATGGTTTTGAAGTGGATTTTGCTCTGGCCACTGAAGGTCTCAGCTGTGGAAATATTTATTGCCGTGAAGCTGTAGCAAGCTTTAGAAGTGGCAGGAAGAACTACTTTTGTAACCAAATAAATGTGTTTTCTCTACAAGTCACACAAATAGGTGTAAGTTTGGAAAACCTTTGGTTTGAACTAAGATGATTTTCCGACTGTGTCATGTAGAGTAGGAAAATGAGTGGACCTTGAGCTGCATTTTAACATATATTTCATCCATTTGACCACAGTAAAAGGGTATGTTGAGATGCTCTATTGCCCTTCTCTTGATGTGTCCTTGCTTGGTATTTTGTGCTTTAGAATCTTCATTTTCCCCCTTTTTTGATGGCTTGAGAGTTTTGACAGAAAGGGCAAAAGCACACGAAAATGGTCATGTCCTTTGTGAAGGCTATGGCAAGTCATGCAGTGGTGAAGAGATGATGACAACCTGTAGAAGAGGCAGTTTTTGACTGCATGGGAAGTGGTTAGCACCTCATTCGATGTCCTCACATCAAAGCTGGACAGTAGGCTGGTTGAGATGCTCTGTTTGAACCACAAATTACTGGGCTTCAGGCAGAAATCACTGGATGAAATTCTGTGGTCTTCATTAGGCAGGAGGTCAGACAAAATCATTTAGCTGGTTTCTCTTGGCTTTTAGAATTTATGAATCACATAGTCAGGCTTGGGGTTTTTATGAGTTTCCATGAAAAGCCTTGGTAGCATGCAGACAACAAAACCCATCTGTTCTCTCATGCTTTCATCATACTGTGTCGCTTTGAAATTGTCCTAGAAGGAGAATTAAATTGGGCTTGTTACTTAAATTTCAGTATGGGTGGAAAAAGCAACTCTATGTTGATTATTATGGCCTGTAATAACCACAGGAATGAATGATGCTTAATGCCAGCCCTGATTTAACAAACATCTGAGGACTGGCTCATCACCACAGCATAGCCAACAACTGTCTCTTCTCTGTTCCCCATGGGAATTGAGCACCATGGGATCCTGCAACAAGGCAAAAAATGGGAGGAAGAGCAGCTTATGTGCTTTTGTTAGTGTCCAGTTACTCCTGCAAGCCATCAAACCCAGGGCTGCAGGAGCTGGCAACACAGGGACGCACACCTTAGTTGCCTGGCTGTGGAAGAGTCTCTGGACTCCAGTCCTACACAGCACTTTGTGAAAACAGGGAAATTTGGGAAAGCCCGGAGCAATGCAATAACTGGAGAAAAGAAGAGGGAAATCAAGTGTCAGGAACATAATGAAAATTGAGATAATGTGAAATAATATTGCTTTCTTCCCAGTATGCAGCTCGGATGAAAACAAAGGCATGAGCATAGTGCTTGCTGACTGCAGCCCTCTTCTCCCTGCCAAATGAGGCTTGTGACAAGGTGCCACCCTGCACTCAGAGGTTGTTTTGGTGGTTCAGTGGACATCCCTGTTGTGTGCCCCAGGCTTGACCTGTCTTTGCAGTGACTTGGGCCCACTTCCCTTCCTGTCCTACAGCAAGACTTCTACCCAGACCTCAACAGGGACTTCAGTCAGGGTTTTAGACTGGTCTAGAACGATGAGATGGTTTGATGCACCCAAGGCTGCTTTCTGTCAGTTTGCCAAATGGCATGGCACAGAATATATCCGTAGGGCATAAACTCTCCAGCTTTCCGTGCTGGGGAGTGTAGCCAGATGGTTATTGGAAATGGTCCACATTTGCTCCTAGTTTTTGTTCAGGAAGGTGCTAGTTGTCATGAACCAAGAAGGTACAAAGGAGCAGTGTTGGAATCGTTTGAGTTCCAGTGTTGGGAATATTTCCTCACGCTGTTTGGCAGTAAGGATATAATCAGTCCTTGTAGGCTGGTATCTGATTAAATAGCTCCAATGCAAAAAACTCCCTCATTTATGGCAGTTGAATGTATTGCAGTGTGGTTTGGAACAAAGTTTAGGTTCTGCCTAAAGCCTAAATGAGACTGTGTGGGTAACACCGTGTCAGGGAGGGAATTTAAGGGGTCATCGTGTGTAATCATGTGAAA